GTCACTTTCTTTATCGCAGTCTCTCCTTTTTCCTTAGACTTCTATTAACCTTGAAATCAATGCAAATGAAATAGTATAACAATATCTAATATCAGACACATTAGAGATAAATGCATGATTAACAAGACAGCTACAGTATAATGGATGTGTGCATGAGATCCTGTTTCATACAGTTTGAAGACAGTGTGAGAGCACTATATAGAGGTGAAACAGTGAAGAAGGAAAAAGGAAAAAGGAAAAAAAATAAAATGCAAAAGCACTAGTTTCAGTTTATTTACAATATTCAGATCTGATGTTTACACTGAATCTGGTTCTGCTGCAGGTTTCTTCCTGTTAAAAGGGAGTTTTTCTTTCCCACTGTCGCCAAAGTGCTTGCTCATAGGAGGTCATCTGATTATTAGGGGTTTTCTCTGTGTTATTGTAGGGTTTTGATTTTACAATATAAAGTGCCTTGAGGCGACTGTTGTTGTGATTTGACGCTGTATAAAACTGTAATAAAACTGAATTGAACCTAAGAACTCATGTATGCTTTTTAATTTATGTATTTATTTTTTGTCAGAGAGCACAACATAAATCAATAATAACTAATAACATTAATGCTGATTTAGCACAAGTAACAGTAAAGCACAGCAGATACAGAGCAGCACAGAAGGCATGCTTTTTTGGGCAGTACAGTGAAGTATGACCCCAGCCTAAAACTATTCCAGTAATGCTGATCGTGGGAGGGAGAATAAGGGACAAACAGCTAACCCTTACATGCTAACCCGCACACTCAGAAAACATGGAGCTTTTGATGGACAGCTGGTAATTGTGGCTGACTCCTGCGCAGAGGGCGGGTGGATGTCTGGTTTGACACATTGAAAGGACAAAGGTTAAATTTTCACTTTCATTCTCGCTCTGTTGTCCTCCTACATCTCCCAGCTCTCAACTTTTTTCTTTAGCTGTTCTGTTAAGGGGTCATGTCCGTTATTCCTCTGCCTCACTGAAGGCTGATTGGCTTTATTTTCCTGACTCACCACCAGGGGTCAGCTACCTGAGTGTCTGGCAGAGAGACAGACGAGAGCCAAACCTTACATGCTAGTAAAATCCTATTGTGAGAGGAAAAAAGGGGGTGGGTGTGTGGGGTGGGGGGAGTCCTGTTTGCTTATTTGATCTTGAAACAACATCTATTTGCCATTCATCATACATTTATATAAAAAAAGAAAAAGAAAAAAGAAACACTACACTCCGACATTCCTCCACAAACACACACCTACAATTAGGAGGGAATCTATTGTCCTACTAAGTCAGGGGGCTGTTGCTAGGCAACCTCTATTTCTAAGGTGAAAAAGACAGCGCTGAGGGAGAATAGTGAGAGACAGGGAAAGCTAGATAGAGGGAGGGATGTAATGAGCGTCTGAAAGTAGGAGGAGGAGGGGTTGACCACAGGAAACGCTCACTTAATCATTCAAACCGCATGCAAATAAAGACACTCATCCTCTAACACACACAAACAAGCACTTTCCTCTTTTCCTTCTCTCTCCTGCCATCCTCAGTCCATGTATATGCATGGTGAGGATACTGGTGCTGCAAAACAAGGGTTGGTTGTATGGACAGCTGCGAGGAGGCGTATCTGTATGTTAATATGTGCTTAAGAGCAAGCCGGGTTATGTACTAGAATGGTTTTTAATAAGCTCCGGGAGGATTTTTTTTTTTTAGCTGGGAACATTTCTCAGTGACTGTATGGATGCGTGTGTAAATGTCATGGGAGCTTATGCAGAGCAACATCAAATACAATGGAAATCAGACAGTCTCACAGTCTTGGCTGGAAGCGCTGCTTGGCTTCTTCTTAGACACAACTTAACTAACGCTCAGTATCACAAGTATGCTGACTCAGCCTTCTACTGGGAATTGTATTTTGGTTTTTTCATGTGTCCCAACAAATCAGCAGTACACTACAAAGTGGCTGTCTTGTGGATGAAAATAATTTCATGGTATGTAAGCAGCTCAGCCATGTTTAAAATGACAGTGGTGTGAAAAAAGCAGCTCTGGAGTGTTTCAGTATTATTACTACTGTCAGAAGTTGAGGTAATGCACCTATCAGCTGTTTGCAGGCCACAATTAAGGTACAAAAATAGAAGAAGAAAGCCTCGCTGACTACCAGATGTTGGTAAAATGTGTTGTGACGTAAACAGGAGAAAAATGCTGAGCCAAAAACTACTACAGTCGAACAAAAGTCCTGTGTAGAACACAAGAAATGAAAATGAGGACCAATGCAAACTCTCCTGCACCTAACCACTGTTATGTGAGAGTGGTTGCGGGAGGGTGGGATCATCAAAGAATGATTCCCAGTGAATCTGAATGGTGCTTTTGCTTAAAATGTCTATTCCTTCACAATGAGAATCAGTCTCAATGCCACACCTAATAGTACCTTTAAATAGCACTTCAAAATGTGCCAGGTTTCTTATAAAATTGTCTGTTATAATCAAACTATTCATCAAGTGTTACTGAATGAGTACTTTAGTCAAACTGGCTTCAGTAAGAAAAAGAGCTTTGAAAAGACATTTGTGTATAATCTAAAAGACCGCGCATGTCTCAGTTTGGATAAAGGAGTTCTCATATTGAAAGCCAACCTATTAAAGAAGGCAATTGAAGCCATTTTCATGAACAGAGGTGCAAGTGAGACAGCAAATCACCATCAGATTGGACTTCAGGGGGTCTTTAAACTGCCAGTTTTATAATACAAAGCACTTTGTGACGGGTGACTGCACCCATGTGAGAATCATGCAAACAACTGCTTTCGGTGAATTCACTGCAAGCTGCAAGTGGAGATCACGTATGTTACTGAGTGGATGCCATGCTTAATTACGTGTAGCAACCTTTTTCCGTCTTATAAGAACTGTAGCTTTTTATCAAACAGGAAACAGAAGAGAAAGAATATACAAAAGAAACAGGGGAAATAAACAGCGACACACTTGCCAATAACTACACAGGAACAAGGGAAGTGAAACCAAATGTGGCCTGCAGCACATGTGTGAGCTTTTAATCATCTGAAGAATGAATCAAAAAGAAATCTGAAAGGCTCACTTTGGAAAGCTCTTAAGTTAAGCAGGCTGCCAATGCACTATGTACGTCCTTTCACTTCTTTTTATATTCTTTTGGGTTTTTTTTACTGGGAAATCTAATAAGTATAAATCTATAGTTTTCACTAGCACAGACCCTCTGCAAACAGTGGCATAGATGACTGTCATTTACTTAAGGTTAGTCAATGCTTATTAGAGTATTAATTAAACTACAATATATAATATATTAAATTACATTTTATTATCTCAATTTATTAGAGATAAAGCCCTGGATGAAAATTAAATTACACATGCAAGGCCTCAACACAGACAGCACAGTACTTCTACTACCAAAGAGGTCAAAATTAGAAAATCAAGGTGCAACTGAAGTGAGAGCAAGATAAAAGATTGAAGTAACAATAATTCTTGACAGAGCTGTCACTCATCCACTCCATCAGCTGGTTGAGGTGCAATATTTGACTCACAGCCCTGGAACTGCGTTATTATTATTACTAATGACGTTCTTATGTGCTCAGATAAATGGGACTATTTTAGTTCTGCTCAACTGATCTGCAGCCTTTAACTCCACACATCGTGCCTTTCTAGTTGACATATTATTGAAAAGGATTTCGTCACGCTTATCTGAGAGACACTTCAGAATCCATACTAAAAGTCTTCATCAGCTCCTCTGTTCTGCGGGATCCCTCAAAGCTCAATCCTTGGACCAATTATGTTTTCATTGCATACTATATTAATCCTGAATCATCTTGAGAGCATTGCTTACCTGTATTTTTCTGTTAATCCAACAAAAGGCTCTGCTACCTCAGTCAATGTTTCAGTGCTATTAGTGATTGGATGTCTTCAAAATTCCTCTGTCCTAGTAAAACTGAGGCTCTTGTGTTCCAGTTCTGCTTCTCTATGAAGACTGTTCTTTACTTTAGCCCTCTCATTAGCAACATCACATCATATGATCAGAGACTTGGTGTTATTTTTCTCCATCTTTGGGCTTACAGTCTTGTTTCTTTTATCTAACAAACATCTTGCCCTTATTTCCATCCAGTGAAACTTGGAATTCATTTTTAAATTATTAGTTACATATAAAGCCCTACATTGCAAGTCTCCTGCATATACAGCAACAATGCTGACACCTTATTCCACCAGTCAGCCTGGCTGGTCTCTAGAGACTACTCCCTGATCCTATTTTAAATCTAGAGGCTTCTGTAGCACCTACACTTTGGAACAGCCTTCCCCAGCCCATCAGTTTTGGCTGAATCAGTGGTTTGCTTTAAACTTAGAATGATAGAATGATTTTGGGTTTCTGTACAAACCAAAATTTTGTATGGAAATATGTAAATAACAAACTACTGTAAGACCGTAAACTTGTATGTACCTTATTCTGGGATACATACACTTCTATGTTTTAAAGTGGTGCAACCTCCCTGCTTTTACTCTGGTTGCTACCAAGCTGCACCAGTTGTGAGCTGTAGCAGGAAAACGCTCTGGGATTCTGCTTTGTCGGACTTCTTTCAAGTTTCAAGTGGACACTTTCCATTTTCTAAAGGTGATTTTGAGAATCTCCTAGCAATCAAAGCAATCACAAGCTGTTTTTTGGTGTAGCACCCCCTTTGTGATCAAGTTTACCCAACGACAGCTAGCAAACCTCCAAAAACCAATCAACAATTGGTCAAGTAATACACATTTTTCCAGAGTAACTGGAGTCTGGGAGGGGGTTGCCAACCAGTCTCTAACCCTCTGTGACTGAGAAGTAAGTACATCCTTTTTGAATATCATAGCATTTTATATTAATTATTGTGTAAAGGATGACGAAAAGCGCTGTGAACAATGAATTTGGTCCAGAGGTGATTGAGAAGATGGAGAAGCTGAAGATATTTAAACAGTATATAGTTCTTGTTTTAATGTATGGGTTCCTATATTTAGCGACAGTCCAGCCAGACCTACCTGTGCATAGTCCCGCTCCAGTTGTCCTTTCTTCAGACTATAGCTCCTGCAACAAAAAAAAAAAAAAGAAACTTACTGAAATGTACAGAGGATAAATGAAACAACAGATAGATTCATAATGTATATATCACAACAGATAACATGTAGGAATACAGATAGCAAATAAATCATCATAAAAGCACCAAGGCCTATTGCTTTGTTACACAGGAGGCAGAAAAAACAGACCTGATGTTTATTTTCAGTGACAGTTTGTGTACTGTGTGTTCATTATGATGAGAAAGCACAAATGCTGCAATCCCACCGAGTATGCCAGGGGAGAGCTTGGTGACCACAACATTATGCAAGGATGGAATTACCACTCTCTTTATTTCTCAACGACTCTTTCTAAAAATACCTTCTGAATTTATGACCCACACAAAGCAACCTTTCCCCTCGCCCCGTTGATGTGAGTCAACAACATCCTGGAAGTGAAGAGACAGTGAAAGCTCTTATCACAGCCCAATATTATGCAGAATTAAAAACATAACATTACATATGTGATTACACAAACAGATACATATTTTGGCCATGAATGTGAATGGACAAAGCATCATGTACAGTTGATTGGATCTAAATATTTTTATATATATCTCACTATGCGTGTGTAACATGTATTCTCGAGATAAATGCATAGTTCATCAGATGCGAGCCCAGCTAACTAACTCAATACCACTTTTAAAGCTTTTTACAAATCTTATCACATTTTTCACTGTGATTTATTTCTTAGAAACTTGCAAGGGGCTTTCTGTGGATGGTTACTGGAGCTGTTGAAAAACAGTTATTACAGTACAATAGCTCCATATTGGAAAAATGTGTCTTATATTAGTTGGCACTAATAGCAAAAAGGTCTAGCAGGAAAATATTATTAAACCAAAAAAGCACTGCTGGGATTTGAACCAAGGATCTCCTGTTTACTAGACAGGTGCTTTAAACAACTAAGCCACAGAGCCACAATTGCAAAGCCTATTTAACCTTACCATCTTGTTGCAACATCGTAGTATGATCAGGCACTCTGCTTCCTGTACACTTATTAATGATTATGACTGGTCAGTTGCTGCCAATGCCACCCACCCCTGAGAGAGCTGAAGAGAGGCATGGAGGCTAAGCAGGAATGCTGTTCAACATTTTTTTCAAAAGAAGTTCAGGTCAGACCAGAAAAAAGCCATGGACATTTTTAGCTATTCTAAAAGTTATGACTGAAATGATGATCACATGAATTTTATTTTGCTATTAAAGACTTGTATTAGCAGAAATAAATAATTTTAATGTTGATGTATGCCACCTAAGAGAAAAGACAGCAGGCATTTTCCTCCTGCTCTGGGTTGGTAATGTGGATGGAGACTCTTTGGAAAAAAAACACTAGTGTGGATGAGAATTATTCTCACATGTAAATGAGGGTATTGTGTTTAGGTGTCAAGAATAACCTAATCATTAGCATTAACCTTTAGTTCATTCACATGTAGATATCCAGAGCTCTGTGGCCCACGCAGAAGCACACTTGATCACACTTGGGTAACTTGTTCAGGCTTTATTGGACAAGGACTTTTACACAGATTATTCTTTGCGTGAAACAACAAATAGCAGATTGGCAGAAATATGAGCCTCAGTTAAAGTTGGGGGGTGGGGTGGGGTGGGATGAGGGGGGCATGAAAACATGGCAGAATATAAACTACTACCAGAAATAATCTGTATCTGGAAGAAGACGTATACTGACTCCATTATAGGCATTACAAGCTGGTGCTTACACCCACTCAAGATACCTTCGGAGCAGCACTGCTGTAGCTCAATGGTAATTTAACATGGCTTTGAGAAATGAGCACCATTATACCCTAGTTTTGAAAACGCAATAGCTCGAGGCTTTTTGCTTTGTATCATCAGATAAAGCAGCGCAGGGTACATTCAGTCCCAGTATGTATCCCATGTTGACATTGCTGGAATAATTACAACCACACTTATTATTGTACAATATATTTTAACTTCAAGTCACCGAACCAATGCTGTCTTAAATCCGATCAAGACAACAGACTGTTAACATCTAAAATCAAGTACCATCAGGAAAGGCGAACAGTGGAAGAAGACACGGAGGGGAAGACAACACTGTAAGAGTAGACAGCATAATTACCACCAATGGCCTGTATGATAATTACAGCCCAAACAAATAGGGTAGTGCTTCGTGTCAAACCTTTCCCCAGACATCATTTCTGTGTTAAAGCTGCTATATCCAGTCTGGTTTCCAAACACAGGCTGCTTAGCAAATTTCTTTTAAATAAGAGACTGTAGTAAATCTGCACCATTGCCGTTTATCACTGATCTGCTGCAAGAGGCTGGAGCATGTGTTTACTGTTTAACCCCGCCCCGTGCTTGTCCGCTGAAATACGACACGCACACTCCCCCAAACAGGCCTGTCCACATGTGGGCTTAGTATCCGCTCTCTGAAAGGGACACACGCTTTTGCAGCACACAGGCCTCGTTGGCGCAGTAGGCAGCGCGTCAGTCTCATAATCTGAAGGTCGTGAGTTCGAGCCTCACACGGGGCAGATGTTTTAAAATTGTCAACTAAGCAAAATAGCAAAGCACATGTGCCTTGAAGTGAAACATGGGACAGATTTCTTGCATTACATGTTACTGAGTCACAGAGACATGCTCCTGCTAGTTGCTCAACATCCACGTTTGAAAACCTTGACAAACTTGTTAATTATACCTTGAAAAATCCTTCCTGCCTTTAAGGCAAAGCACAATCAAGAAATAACAGTGCTTTCACTTCACTCATAAAAACAACTGTCTAAACTAAAATCATTTCATGCTCCATGCTAAAGAAGGAAAAAGTATAGTTCTCATAAATACAAATAACAGGGCCACTCCTTATAAAGCTGTCCTAATGGCCATGTTTTGGGCTCTAGGGCTTCTGTGATAATTAAATATATTAGTATATAATCTCAATTGATAGCCAAGGTTAACATAGGTGGAATTAATGGTATTCAGGGTGTTTGTATCACATTGCATAGGTCTATGGTTACACACATTGAGTGACATTCTTGCGAGCTTCATGCATCAGCCTTAAGGCAATGGCTCAAATGTTCTGATGGAAAAAGAATGAGAGAGTCATCATAGAGTAAAAAATAAATACATTTTAAGAATCATCTATCAGTACCAATGAGATGTATGTGGACCTCATGCGTGTTCCTCTGCTTTTCCATTCGATTGTTCAGTCTGACGTCACTAGCCGTGTCTGGACCTAAACTCCGCTGCAGGTCCATATATCAAACGATCACTATGGCATTACTGAGAGTTGAAAAACTGTCTAAACTCTTTCATCTTTAATAAAATGATCAGCTTTCTGCTCTACCAGGTGTAACAATTGAGTTTAACATCCAGGCATCCATGAAAACGGAATTTATGACATTTAACGGAGTTAGAAGTTAGCAGGGAGTTAGCTCGCTAGCTTCTATCTAAATACAATATAGCATGTCCTGACTGCGGGGTTTTGGAAACAAATTAAAACGTACAGCTCTGCTATCACTTCCAGCATAAATGAAGACAGAAAACTAAACAGCAGTGACGTTTGTAGGGTTACTGAAGTTGAGCTAGCTGCTATATAATGATGTGCTACGTGACCGCTAGCGACACAGCTATGTTAGCATAATATAAACAAGCTAACTTTTTTTCCACTCGATAAAAGTTAACGTCAGTGTTCTCAGTGGTCAGAAACAAATGTAATCGCATGGCAGGATGCTGTAAAAGGACCAAACTTCAGCCAGGAGAACAACTGAGATAATCCATCCACAATACGAGGTTAGTCATTCATATACTGCTGCATGGGATGGGCTGTAGCTACATCCTAAGGTTTTAAAAACTGAGCTTAAATAAATGATTAGTGGTAATAAAAGCCGAGGGAGGTCAACAGTGGTCGCTGACTGTTTTAGGAGCTTTTTGAGATCAAATAGAAGAAAATACATAACATTAAGCATGTTAACAACACAAAAGCCATATTAAACGCAGACTACTTTAGGCCCGGAAGTAGGATTCGTCGCGTCATCACTGAACAACCGGATAGCAGGGGCTAAGCTTAAGGGCAAACAACAGTACAAGCACAAACAAGTTACTCCTATAACTGGTTGTACTTTATCATGATGCAAATGCGCTGCCACAACACTGCATTGCTGACAATGAGTGCAGGATTTCCTTCTTTGACCAAAACAGACACAGTATCTGCTGGTGTCTTAAATTAAGTGTCTTAAATTGTCCAAGAGTGTGCAACTGTCTTAAATTACTTGGTACTAAATAGCAATGGAAAGGGAAAAAAATATTATTGAACAAGTGTAGCGGAGTTGGAACAAAAGGCACTGCTGGGATTCGAACACAGGATCTCCTGTTTACTAGACAGGCGCTTTAACCAACTAAGCCACAGCGCCTACACAAAGAGACAACAGGATATCAATTCGGTGAGATAATCCATCCACAATACGAGGTCAGTCATTAATATACTGCAACAACATGGGAATAGAGCAGCTGCGAGAGAATTCAACATTAATAATCAATGGTATGGAAGTGGAGGAAGCAAGAAGAATGAGTTGAGTAAAGTTTGACTTATCTGACTGTTTTGTTTCGCTTAATGCACCTTATAATCTGGTGCGCCTTATATATGAAAACAGACCTGCCATGGAAAAGAGCAACTCAAGTCAAAGCATTAGAAAATCAACTGCCTGTGCTACCTTTTTGAGTTTAACACACTACGGCAAGATACACAAGATTACTGCACTAGATGTTATGGTCCTGCTCCTGCAAGCTCTCCTGTAACTGCGTTGGATGACCTAATCTCATACTGTGAAAAAGCAGTTGGTATACCTTGTTGGTATAAGAGAATCCTTGCTGTTTTTAAGGCAAAGAAGCTAGGTGCAGTTTTTAAGCAGTTTTCAATTTCTTCTGTATGACCAATCTCCTAAAAAGATTTAAATTAACATGCTTAACTTTCAATAGCTCCAAATGGCTGTAATGTCTAGTTTCTGG